GGGCAATCATTGGGGACAAGGTATTAATCAAAAGCAACATCAACAATTGGATTATTTGTTCAGGAACAGGAAGTTTACCTCAGTGGCAATATGGTTCCGTTAACTGCATAATTGTCAAAAATATCACTGAACATTGTCTAGGGGGAAAAGCGCCCGCATATTTTGGCCGAAATTATCAATGTGGACCAGCCTATAAACTTAAAGGTGGTGATTATTATTATTATTATTACTTTGATGGTTGCACAGGAGAGGATTTTCCAGCGCATGACCCCTGTGGGTCATACTCTGACAAAGAGTTGAAGAATATACAAAATCCACATGGAAATATTTTTATTCGATGACTCCCCATTACTTGGCCAACATAAAAGATCCTGACAATGCTCTAAATGACAAGAATAGCTTGGTAGCTGAACTTTAAGGAGTCGAATACAGTCGGTGAGTTCTTGCTTATCAGCAGGGATCTTACACTGCCAAACGCTATTTCTGTCTCATTTTTCGATCATGAAGTTCAGGACGTTGGTCATTTTAAGTGTAAGGCTACAGTTAAAGTTGCCTTCGAAGTTGACTTGGGCGGAATATGTGTAAATAAAAAGATTTCCTACCGCTTTTGCCAGTATACACTGTACATCTCCATAGCAATCTCATTTTCTCACTCTCTAATTACCCCGACATCATGTGTGCTTGTGTGTGTAGCAAAGACAATCTTTAAGTAACAAACTAAAAGCCTTCATTTGATTCGTTCTCTTGAGGTGAAGGCTTCTTTAATCTTGCTCTTTACTTAGAAAGTTCTTAAAAGACATTTATAGCCATAATGAGGGACACAGAAGACCTCGGACTCTGGCGTCTTAAAAGTGTATGAGGCATGCAAGATCACACTTCCAGGTCGTTGTAGAATGGCAAAATTTTTATTTGAGTCTAAAGAACTCCAAGTGTTTTTTTCTTCTTTTGATAAGTATCGGTGTTAGATGCATTTGGGGTGGGTAAAACACTCAGATTGAAATATCAGAAGTATTACTAGACTGGTAGGTAGATACGCTACCCCGGTATAGACAATACTAAAATTCAAGTGCAATTAAAATTTGAACTCAACACTTTTATGACAGGATTTGTGAAATATCTCACTTAATTATATGCAAAATAATACATGAAATTGTTTCATTCGCGTTCAAGTAAACTTTTTCACTAACTACGGCATTTTTGCAGTTGATTTTCCATAGCTCTATAATCACTTTTCATCATGTAAGTAAGCAAGTTTAAAGAGTTTCTGCGCAAGTTTATATATACCAATATGCAGCGTTGTTTTATGGTTTATGGCAGGTGTTCTTGTGAACCAAACATTTACAAAGTATGAAAGCCTTAAGATTTTTAAGAAATTGCTATTTCCATAAACTCGGTACTTCCATTAATAAGAACTGATAGAATGTGAATGACTTGCGCTCACTTATGAAGCTGAAATGTTTAGTGATTAGCATTAAAAAAATAACTCTTTCTGAGGGGCACAATTATACTGCAAAGATACTGCTGTGGACTTGTCTAATAATTTTTAAACTTCAAAATATGACAATTTTAAAGTTTAGCTAGTGTTTCGCCTTCTCCAGCATGCTATTCTGTGCAAAACATAGAGCCGCCTGGCTTGGAGGAGGTCTTTAAATGGTTGTACCATTCGCATGTGTAATTGGCAGGTGTAATTTGCGGGCAAGGGTTAGTCTTGCGCGGATCTTTTGAAGTTCTCACAACTTAAATGCTACGAAGGCAAATTATAGAACGTGTTTACCTCTGACATGTTTTAAATTTCATATTCTTTTTTTATTAGGTTATTCTTTTCGCATACTGCTCAAAAGTATTTCTATAAACGTACTTTCCGTTTAACAAAACGGGCATCTGTTATTGTGAAAAAGTTACGACCTCAATGACCCTTCGTTTAAATGGTCAGAATTCAATAATCATAGCCTTTTTATACTAAGAGCTCTCGTGATTAGGAACAAATACCCTTATCGCAGCTAATAAACATTTAGTAATTTCGCTTGGCATGTGATAAATAGAGAATGATACATGAGCGCAAATAGATATGGAATTTTTCTTCGAGTGTTCAACTTGATAACTCACGAATGGAGAAGTCGAGTTGTCTTGATGTCGAGTAGAGCACGGCTTAACTTTGTTTAAATATTCGGCCCAAGGTTTTAGAAAATCAAAACTTATAATTACCTTTACAACTAGCCATTGAGAGTATCGTGTTTCAGCAATACTCTCTCTACAGCTAGTTTTAAGCGAAGCTGGAAACAATTTTCCACAGAGCAGACTAAATTAAGGGGCTTTGTGAATGAAATCAAGTCTCACCCTCAAACTTCACCCTCTTCAGAAAAACATGAATCTAAGAACTGCAAACCTTTTTGAGAAACTATTTTTTTTGTTTTTATTTGCATTATTTTTCAAACCTACTTTTCATTTCTTGAATCTTTGTTTGCTATATGTTTTTTCATCGGATTGTTCAAAATTCTTACCACCATCCTACTGGGACAACTAATTGCAAACGTCAAGAAGAGAAAACAGGTCAATCCCCACAATTTGTTCTTCTCTCGCCGACAGAACACATTGTGCTCCTCTTGACACCGACTCGAGTTTATTATCCCTGCTAGCCTCCGGCAATTTCTTTGTTTTGTTTCTTTTTCGTTATTGTCCCGAAATTTCTTCATTTAATTATGTTAATCATTTCCCATCATTTACCTTGTCAGGTGATGGTTAACAATCAGTGGCAACTTCGTTCTCCTTGTTGTGTTAAGATGGGCTGTGATGAAAGAAATGTCACAATTCTCTGTTTTAAAACTATTTGTTTAAATCCTGTATGGCTCATCCTTCTTTTTTTAGCACATGGAGGTAAGTTTTCCACAAAATTTCCGTTAATTAATCGTTGTGAGGTGGAAGCAGATTAACCTTGGATTTACATTCAACGCTGGCGATGGTAAAGAAACACAGAAAAAAGATCTGCCCCTCTTCGCATTTGATGTTTATTCATAACTCATTCTCAACTCTCAGAGTGGTGAATCAGTCAGTTATTTTAAGGATGTGTAACAAAAGAAAGGAAATCGGGAAAGAATTTAGGAAAAAGCCTCTGAAGGAAGTGCTTAGCCTACATTATTGGAGATTTCTTATTTGTTTTTTAACACTATGATTTTCCTCTTTTTGTGCGCCTTTCGTGTTTCATGGTATGGAATTAATCCTTGCTATTTTTAATTGAAAGCAAGACTAATGAAAGATAGAAAGTAACTGTTGTTCCATTCATGAAACTCAACTATCCTGCTTAACAACTTTGGCAACCTTTTGTCATTTGGCTATCGAGCTCATGTTTCTAGATACACCATCCCGATTATTCCCGCATTGTGAGCCTCACAAAAGAAAAATGATTTCAATTAACACTTGAACAAATTGGCTGACATGCAAATTTTGGATATTCTATTGATTTTAATTTTTATATACGTCATTTGTGGTTTGGATCCTGGAAGGATCGCAAAGAAATTTCAGTACGCACAACTTCACCCCCAACAAACAACTGTCTAACATGCACTCAACAGACGCAAATGTATTGAATCTAGCTTTATCTGAGTTCATTGCAATCGTTCCCAGAAATCATCAATATTTCATCTGTTAATTAGGTCTTGAATTTTTCAGCAAATTGTCGTGAATAGTCATATAATTCCCTTTGAAGACTATCATCTGGTCGATTATTGCTAGCGTCTCAAACCGTTTTAAAAATTTGTCCCATAATTAACATCGCAAAAGGGTTAATCTTTGATACATTGATAATCAACCGGACCCTAATCAGCTCATAGATTTCAAAGGAATATTAAATTTTCCGTTTGAACTATGGGACACTGCTGTGCAAGAAGGTGCCTACCCTAGCTACATCCAAACGATCACGTAAATCTCAGCGGATATAGGCTTATTCTTGACTAAACAATGTTTGTTCCTTCTAGATGGATGTCGCATGATTCAGTTCAGAGAACAAAAACAAAATGTGGCTCTAACGAACCATATCATAAAAAGTGAACAGGTATTTGACAGAGATACCTGCGAACTGAAATGTTACCAGGATCCAAATTGCGTTTCCTACAACTATGGGCCATCAGCAGATGGAAACCTACTCTGTGAACTAAGCGATAAGACCCATTCACAAGTCCCTGCCAATGACTTAAAGGCAAAAGAAGATTATATCTACAGTCTAATCACAGCTGTAAGTAATGTTAAAGTCTTTCCTATTGACTCCATTGTAAGGAAGTAGGTATCCGCTTATCTCCATTCACAAACGAGTCAGGGCTTGTAGCAGCATATTCTAAAAATTTCATGCTACCAATTTATGGTTAGATGTTTACCTAACCGAAGTTTCTTCCGAATATTTGGCTGCTTCAAATTATACCCCACAATCCGGAGTAGCATAGACATTCGAGAACAGTCTGTTCTTATCGTAGATATATCATCTCGTGTTAACTTCTAGAACGCTTGCCAAAGCAGTCCATGTAAACTTAACTCGACATGTCAAGCAGGATTTGGGGCTCATGGATACCGATGCATTTGTCCAGAGGGTTATCATGGGGAAACTTGTGAATTAGGTGAGATAATCAACATACACATGCATTTCAGTTGCTTTCGCTTTTTATTACTTCGTTACACTTGACATAAGACAAAAATTTTCTTTGAAAATAACTATTTAATTATATAATTCTTGTCCAGATGTTAACGAATGTGCGGTGGCTACTCACGACTGTTCTCCGAACGCTGATTGTTCAAATGTTATGGGATCATTTCACTGCAATTGCAAATCTGGATATAGTGGTGATGGTAAAACTTGTCAAGGTACGTGTGGTCCAGTTTTCAAGTATTGCAAAATGTTGCATTCATAAAGCAAATTCTTCAAATATCTATCACTCACTGTACTTACGTGATTTAACTTCCAGCTTTTGGCTCCACCAAGGAACTCGCTGTTTCCTCTTGCAAGTCTCTATCTTCATTCAACTTTCCCAGTGGTGTCTATTGGCTCGATGTAGATAGCGGGTCCCGAGACAACTCTTTCAAAGCTTACTGCGAGATGGAAACTGATGGAGGAAACTGGACATTGGTTTGGAGTTACACCTTTACTAACTACTCAAATTTTCAAGCAAGCTCTAATGCAATAACACCCCGACCCAATTGGCATGTCTTCATACCAAGTCGCGTAGACGTCACCGTATCTAAAAACCCACCCTTGAGTGAAACGGACTTCAATGCGTTCGAATTTTCTAAATGGAAAATTTTTGGAGAGGAAATTTTGGTCAAAAGCAACATCAACAATTGGATAATTTGCTCATCTGGAGACGGAAATCTAGCCAAGTGGTCGGACGGGCCTGTAAATTGTAAGATCATCAAGAGCATCACTGAACATTGCCCAGATGGGCCGCCACCCACACATTTTTTTCGATATTTTGGCAGATACTGTGGACCAAGTTTTTTTAGTGATTCTTTTCATTATTACTTTGATGGCTGCACAAGGTATAACTGGCCAACGCATGACCCCTGTGGGCAAAACTCTGACAGAGGATTGAAGAATATACAAAATCCACACGGAAATGTGTTTATTCGCTGATTCTTCGATACTCTTCAGATCACTTTCGCATCAGCCTTACACTGGATAAGGTTGTGCTTATCAGCAGTGATCACAAACTGCTTGCTACAGTACCAGTTTCAGATGAAGTAGTTTAAGGCGTTCATCATTTTATAGGGGTTATAATCTTCCATTCTTTAATAACACTGATATTAGGTTAGAAGACGGGTTAAAACTCCTAGAAAGACTTCCGAAAAAATGATGGACCACCCTTGTTTCACGTCGTCCACCGTGTCCATCGTGTCCTTTACATTTACATCTAAAATTATCTTCTCAGCACGCAATGCAAGACACAAGGAGGACCTGAGACTCCCAGAGGTGTAGCTTGGGAGGGAGGGGTCCTGTGGTGGTCGTGAACTCCCTCTTTGTAAGCCTTTTTTATGTCACATGCATTAGGTAAAACACGGCGTAAAGGTCGACATGACAATCTGCTGAGTACCCTCTGTTTGACACGATGTGACCCTCCCCTCCACCTTTGAAAAATCCTGAGTATACCCCTGGATTCCCCCTTGTGTTGCAAAGACTGAAAGCAAGCAAAGACCACACCACCAGGCTTATAAAGTCCATGTATTTATAAATAGGATCTTCACTGTTTCATATTTAGTTAATTTTTCTTTTATTATCAGCATCCATGTAAGACAAATTTCTTTCTTGTATCCTTTTTTGTTGTTTCTTTCATCATCATCATCGTTATAACTAATATAATAATAATTATTATTACCATTATGATTACGTGATGTACAAACGATAGCATCCTGAGTTTTGAAACTATCTTTTGTATCTACTTTCAAAAGAACATGCCTTCAAGAGGTTGACATTTTGTTCATATAGTAACATTTACTTCTTGTCGGTCAAATTTTAAAACCAAAGGTACTTGCATAAAACACGAGATACAGTAGTCTAATAGAAAGAACATTAAATCGTTCCAGCAGGCAAGAAAAATTGAACTATTGGAGAATTAGAGTGAAACCTTAGTCTAATCATTACGAAACAACACAGAACACTGTTTTGAACCATGTTCGAGCACTGCTGCTTCGTGATTCCACAACATTTTGACCGCTGTGATAAGAACAATGTTGTCGATAAGAGCACAGAACACGTTAAACCAATGTCGATTTGTTAAATAGAACTTAAGCACTGCCATTACCAATTTGTAAGCATTTTAATGTATGATAAGGATAATAAGAGATAAAATGCAGTGTGTTATTAGTTACGTTGTGTATAGGACCTGTTTTATAATGTTGGCAGAATATCTCTATAAAATGCAAAAATATGTAAGGAAATGAAGAACGTTTCACCATAGAGGTTCAATTTTTCAATCAAGTTTTCATTTATCTATAAACGTGATAATTAATTATATATCCGTGATGATAACTGCTCTGCTACCGTTAACAGTTTCCAGCACTAGCAAATGCCAAACACGTCTCTCAAATATGGGCTTAACGAACGTACAGATTCCAACTTCCTATTCATTTAAGAGAGAATTATCTTCGCATTTCGTTAATTTCCATGAAGTTTTACTAATAATTGCTGTATTTTGCGATTTCTGTTATTTGTTTATTTTATTGATAAAAATCCATTGTAAAAATTATCTATGTATTTGTTCCGTAATCGTTTTCTTTTAATTAGGTGTATATATGTAAATAATTCAGTTGAATACAGCAAGGCCTCTTTCCTGACTAATAAACATATTTTCAATCGTTAAATGGTGCTAGTTTAGCTTTAAAAATATTTTCAGTTACTAGCAGGTGTATGTATTGTCAATTCATTTACTGTTTGATTAGTTACTTTAAAGTACAAATTAACCTTGCTGTTGTTGCTGTTACATTTAGGTTGACACTTTTGAGCCAGGTAGCCATTACCGGCATTCGCATCAATGCATTCGCTCTGAAGAAAGACTAACGCTCGAAACGTCAGCTTAGAAACTCTTTATGGTGGCCAATTTTCATTATTAAACAAGCAAATAAGTCCAAACTTATCTTAATATACTCCCCACTGACACAGCACCACAGTTTCTTTACAAACGTACTCCCTTTTACTACTACCACTGCTTATCCCGGTTCCCGTAAGCTAAACAACTAGGGGCATTCAAACTCTTCAGTCGTAATTAATCGCCTGTCAATTCCCCAAGTTTCTTTGACTGTTTGCTGGTACTCATTTACACTCCTGCGTGAAGGGAGACACTGTGAGACCAAAATGCCTCGTCCGAGACCAAGTCACAATGACTCGACTAGCTAAAATGGACATTTCAACCAGTCTTCAACATGTACCTAGTCATTTGTACTTACCCTCAAATAGATGCAAGATACAGTACAGCTACCTCAAGTAGCAACCTGAAATTGCATATTCTATCGCTGGGAGATAATATCTGAAAAACACACTAAATGCTATTTCATTATCATTTTTTTTTCTTCAATCAATTCTAACTGCTTCTCTGTCGCTGAGATAAGAGCCCTCATATAAGAGACAAACACGGAGCGGTTCCTCCTAACCGGTAATTCTCTTTTAACTGCTTTGCCAAGATGCATGCAGTAACCTTTAAGTTTAAAATTTCCTGCATTCAACAAACTATTCCAAGGTAATTTTCATTTATGCGCATTTCTAATCAAGTATAGCACTTAGGTTTTTTCTTTAGTTTTTGTTTTATACCCTCACTACTTTGATCTTAAAAGGAAAATTCGAAACAGCAAAGCTATATTAACGACGAATGGAAGTAGACGTCGTGCAAAAAGATGTATCTATTTATATCTTGATAATCATGTATTTGTAATCATTAGTATTCCAGGTATCCTAACTCTTCTTATACATTGCCAAAAGGAAGGGAAACCGGAACTTCGCATCGCTCCATAAATTTGTACTGCTACCTCAATTAGATGACCAAATAGATGGAAGGAGATATCTTTCAATAATAGTTTGGTGTGCAAAAAGTTTTCAGTTTTAACGTACTCATTCTCTGCTTTGTAAGAATTTCCAGTGTTAATATGGATTATCTTCGCTTCCAATTAGAGCAAGGAGATTACATGGGGATTTTAGCACGCAAACGTTAAAGACAGCATTTCCTCAGGGCACAATTGTATTATGACGAGGACAAATAATGCAAAATGTTCTTCACTAAAGAAAAAGCGTGGAGTAAGCTTGAAGAGGGAAAAGTTCACTTAATGGATTCTCGACAACTTCCTAACTTGATGCAGTAATGTAAAAATTTTATCTGGATAGCCTTCGACGTTTCCTGTGCTTTTCAAAGGAAAATTTGTAGCAATATAGATATATTTTCCTGTGGTGAATAATTAAAAAACGATAATTAAACCACAAGTAATGTAGTTAATATGGTTCCCTCATAGCAATACGTTTGTTGTTACATCACACCGGTTACACTTAACCTGTCAGCCAATCAGGTCGAGTCTTATCGTCTCTCAAATTAATAATGCAAAGTGTTCACGGTGCTTAATCACCTGTTACAAATGTCACTTTTTTCATATCCTCCCTAGGAGCTTTTTCCGAAATGCGAGTATGCGGTGTTTAAAAAATCCCTGGAAATAACAAAATGAAGAGTGTTACCACGCAAAATATCGAATCACTGAGCCACGAGGCAAGCATCGCCAAAACGTCTGTGCATAGATGGAAAACATTAAAACACCGCAGGGCAGCAAAATGTGCCGAAAACCATAAATTTGCCAACAGTAAGTACTTATTTCGATTGCCTCTCTTGTTGTTTTGATCATTTGTCCATGAAATTGTTTACAGGAATTTTGTGTTTAACAGATGCAAAAATAAGCATCTAGAGCTTCAAAATCCCATTTATTTACTGATTTGTTTGATAAGACCACGGTTCTCCAACGCCTAAATTACATGAGTAAGTTAGCTATTGCTATAAACACTATAAGGAAAATTGCCTAAATCAATATCGTATGTTCTGTTTATAGTCGGAGAGTCCATCGATATTATGCAAAAGGGAGCATTGGTCATAAAATTGCGAAGTTCATCCAAGAAATATCCACGAAAGTTCTTCCTTGATCAACAATCTTTAAACATCCGTTGGACACCTTCCAAAAAGGGAGACCGTGCGAAAAGTAAGTCAAATTTTCAATTTAACGTTAATTTAACTCAAATACATGCTACTGTAAAACAAGATGTCGTAAGCGTGAGTTTGAATTTAGATTTTTTTTTTTCATCTCTCAGTTATTAAGATAAAAGCCAAAACCAACTTACTCGAGCTTGCGTATGAAGAGATTTTTTAGATGAATTTAAAGACTCTGCTTTGAATTGTTACTAATTTTATCTTTTTTTTTTTCTTCTTTTGTGGTGGTACACGCTAAAAGAGAAGGCAAAGATTTTGCATAAGATGCTATATCTTCAAACTTACTGTTATTTGCATTTGCATTGTTATAATGCCTTCCTTAAAGAAAAGTTTTTGAAAAAAATTGATTAAGAGTATTAGACTGTGACCCCTCTCACGCTTAAAGAAATATTTAAAATCTAGACAGAAAGTATTTACGCGTATAGATAAACATTTAAAAAACGCAAAAGAGATATTTCGCATCTTGATTAGTTGTTTAGAATGGGATAGCTATCGTTCAAATGGATTTGAGAAAAAGTTATTAATTTTGAAACAAAATAGTTGTATTCTTCGACTGTGAATATATGAAAGTAGTATTCTTCACAGTTGAGTCTGTGTATACAAGGGATATTTTTTTTTATTATAAGAAGCAAGGCATGTCTGTTTGATATAATTCTATTTTCCATAAATGTAGAAAAGACTTAGCCACTTTTGATTAATAATTGATGAAGGATTGGCCCTCACGTTGAACCTTTTTCCTTATCTATTTACAAGAAAAGTATAAAATGCAGTAGCTTACCCCACTTGAAGTTCTATGTATTTATCGAAAGAGATGAATCTCAATTTTGCTATAATTATTACGCGTTGGGAAGGTTTAATAAAGCGTAATGCTATTACCCGCCACTGATTCGAAAATCCCTCGAAATGGTCGCGTAATGGAATAAACTGGATTTTGTGCTTAATAAGATTAATTATGTCGCACTTTACTAACACATATAAAACCAGACTTCAAGGCGTACGAAAGCCATGAGAAGGGTAAATGTGCTGTAATCAACCCGAGTCAAGAATAAGAGGAGGCGCTAAACTAACTCTTAGTACAGTGCAGCTACTGAAGAAGTCATTAGTCTAAGAAATATGCCCAGAGGATCCCAACCAAATATCCACTCAAAAGAGAGATCTTCATGTTCTCTCATACAACAAGTACTCCTTAAACATCCATGGGCCGCCAACTGAGATGAAAGTAGAAAACTACAACTTCGTATCGCAATTTTTAAGGTTAGAAACATCACTCCTAATGAAAAACACTTCTCAGAAAAAATCATATAAACAACACTACACAAGAGTTAAAGTTGAACTCATTTAAATACGCGCAGAAATAAATAATATACATGTTTTTTTCCTTCAATTTTCTGCTCGGCTGTTAATGATAATTCCTTAGAAGTATTGGTAACCGCTTTCCGTCAACTATCCGTGATTGTTTCAAGCTCTCGTCCTCTCGACTGGTCGCCTGAACTGTCATTCATTTATTCATCATCATCACTAATTTACCATTAGTGTTTTATGCTCACAAGTTTTAATCTCATGCTAAAAGGGTGGCAATTTGGGATTGATGTTTGCTCGCATGGCACTTGATTCTCTACGTTAGTAAGACCCTTTACACACGTAGGTGCGACCGAAATGCCCACGATGTGTTAACAAGATGAAACTCAGGTAAATATGTATCCTAAATGTTATGTCTGAAGCAAACAAAAGCTTCGATTAATGTGTCTTATTTGCATATTACTAAACTTTTAGTCCGTCTGGAAATTGGACTTGGTGTCGAATTAAGTTAACAGGCGCTCAAACAAAACATTTTACAAACTCTTGGAATCGCATCAAGAGTACTTACTCTCATTTTTCGCGCGTATATCGCAATAATGGCATAATTTGTTTCTTCTAGAAGCTTACTAGAAACCGTGACGTTGCAAGAAAACTCGCGAATTTCGTGTTCGCCTTCGCTCGCGTTAGTATTTCGTTTCTTTATTTTTTCGTTATCTGGGACAAAATGACCTTACATCCGACTTACTCAGTCTCCAATGTCTCCAAATTTTCTCAATCGTTGACTGAAATTTCCAACTAACGAGACATAAGCTTAAGCGTTGCATGCGTCACCTGCTTATCATAGTGTCTGAAAGTCATAACCTCATTGACATAATGCACACCTGCTAAGCAAAGCAGAAGAATTAGGCCGTTTTAAACTTGCTTCTTTCATCTCAATATTTTCCGTTAAATTGCAATACAGTTGTCTTCTAATATTGCTGACCTTTCTATAATTCTGGTCAAAAGTTGTTGGGATGCAACAACTTTGTCATGCATACCCAGACCCTTGAACAAAAGATATGTTTTCCATATTGTAAAATTATTCTCATGAGAGCCTTCTAAGCTTTTCTCATACTCCTCTCCCTTCCCTGAATAAAATCTGAAAACAACTGCAGCTTTTGTCTTGGTTTTAAGCCGTAAAAAGATATCTAAAAACAAATGCAGCTTTTGTCATGTATGTAACGCGTAAAAAATAGTGAAAAACAACTGCAGCTTTTGTCATGGTTGTAAGCCATAACGTTTCCAGTACTCTTACCAACATTGCAGATCAATATGCAAGGCTCTAAAATC